ACCTGGTTTTTTGGTAACACTAGAATCAGAACCCGGGGCTTTGTGCATGTTAGGCAAGAATTCTAACTGAGCCATATATTTAGCCTCCATCAAAAACCACTTTTTTAGCTGCCTGTTATTCTATCAAATGGCTACACATTTTAGCCCTCTTTGGTTATTTTCTTCCTGAGATTCTAGGAGTATCAATAAATCCATCATGCACATTGCCTTTAAATCTACGTACATATTTCATCATTTCCTAAGGACACAGAGTGTGATTTGCTCCTTAGAATGCTCTGTGCACTATATAAAGGCACAACTAAGTCACATCGTCATTGAACTGTGCCCAGGAATCTTAATTCCACTCCCAACCCCAAAACTGAGAAGTGACTCCAGGAAGAGGGTCACTGCAGATGAAGTTAGTCAGGGTCAAGATGAGGTGGGTACCATTCCACGACTGCTCTCTGTTAATAGGGACAAGGTTACATAACACCCACTGGGAAACATGGGGACTGAAGACACTAATGACAGCTTGCCATTACCAGGAGTGGTACCAACCAACAATCCAACCTACTTTCCCATTTTCCATTCTTCCTTTAAAAACCTTTAAATTTATTATGAGTCTGTGTATGGGGAAGGGGGTGTACCACAGCAGGCATGGGGAGGTCAAAGGAAAACTTTAGGAGTCAGGCTTCCACCACAGAGATGTCCTGAGGTTGAGCTCGGACCATCAGGCTTATGGGGCAATAAATGCTTTTACCTGCCTGCTATTAAGCCATCTTGCTACACACACCCATTCTTGGACCTATTGTATTTTTTTTTTTTTTTTTTTTTTTTTTTGGTTTTACGAGACAGGGTTTCTCTCTATTGTTTTGGAGGCTTTCGGTCCAGCCTGGCCTCGAACTCACAGAGATCCAGCTGCCTCTGCCTCCCGAGTGCTGGGATTAAAGGCGTGCACCACCACCGCCTGGCTGGACCTATTGCCTTTTTATTGTCACAAGAACTTTAAAAGGCTGCCCTCAGCGAGTAAATCACTACCTTGCACAAGCTCATCTGACTCCATGATCTTCCCTAAGTTGTTTTAACGTCCCTGAAGTGTCAATACTTCTGACTTGGTCTTCACTTTCCTCAGCTGAAGACTAGAGATTGCTCAACAGGTAAGAGCTCTTGCCATCAAGGCCAACAACCTGAAGACGCTGCATCCCACATGATGAAGGGAACCAACTCCCTCCAAATTGTCCTCTGGCTTCGTTCCTGCTGTGGCACGCACTCTCAAAAAACAGCATTTTCCATATCCTGTATGTTTTGGGTTTGTCTGAGACAGGATCTTATTACGTAGCCCAGGATGAATTCAAATTTGCTTGGTAGTCCAAGGGGACCTTGAAGTGTGATCCTTCTGCTTCAGCCTCTGCAGTGCAGGGATAACAGGTGTGCACTGACCTCTCCTGGCTAAGACACTTGAGGGCTTTTTCCTTTGTGGCACTGAGGATTGAACCCAGGGCCTCAGGCCTGCTAGACAAGCATATTACCACTCAGATAGTTCTAGTGTTTGTGTTATTTTGAAAGTCTCACTAAATTTCCCTAACTGGTCTTGAATTCCACTTGAACTCAGAAGCCCAGGCACACTCTGAACTTGTGATCCTCCTACTCCATCCTCCCAAGTTCTGAGATGGCAGACATGCACCATTATGCCTATTTCCTTTATTTCTTAATACGACTAACATATAAGCTAGTAGTAAGAGTGTTTGCTACATGTGCAAGGTCCTAGGTTCAATGCCCAGTGTGCTCCCCCACCAAGCCACTTGTAAAAAACAAACCAAACTCTCAACTTGTCAGCTGGGAATGTAGGTCAGTGGTGGGGCACTTACCAGCACATGCAAAGCCCTGGACTGGACTGACAGAACCACAAAAACAACAAGCCCCATCTGAAATGCAGTCTAGAAAATGTATGCTGAGTACCAAGGCATCTGGAATCTGCTTCCAATGATACAGCACAGGCAAGCTGGAGAATACCACACGGAGAGTGGGAAAGAGACTCTAGTGTTGGTAGTGTTTTTGAAATTGGTAAGGAAATTAATAAATCTGCCACCACAAAGTGACAGTTTACATTTAACAAGGGCTCGACCTATCTACAGCTTTCGTGGAGATCTTAAACATGGTACATGGTGCACTGTGCATGCTCCAGTGCCTACACACACAACATGGTACATAAGGAATACATGTGCCATGTACATGTCATAGTGCATGAAGTGTGTGTACATTATCTGCACATCATGGTGCACAAGGGATGCAAGCTTTTCTATTAATCACTTCAGAAACATGGTGCCCTCATACATCATGCACACACCTTAGCTGATCTCATTCTGACTGTGTATCTTTCCCATCATACTCATGTTGAAACCATTAACCAGGTCACCAGGACCCAGCTTTCAGAGTAAACACACTCTATTCTGGTTTTAAAAATAAAATAGTTCGCCGGGCGTTGGTGGCGCACGCCTTTAATCCCAGCACTCGGGAGGCAGAGGCAGGTGAATCTCTGTGAGTTCGAGGCCAGCCTGGTCTACAAAGCGAGTTCCAGGACAGCCTTGAAAGCTACAGAGAAACCCTGTCTCGAAAAAAAAAAAAAAAAACCAAAAAAAAAAAAAAAGTTCACTACAAAAGCTGAGGCCACAGAATCAGATAAGGCGTGGAGCTTCAACTTGCTCAGGATTAAACACAGTTAAGTACCAACCACACAACCATTGAAATATGGGGGCACTTAGTGGCCAGGGAGAGGACCTGAACAAACACCAACCTGTTTGAAGACACAAATGTTTCTCCTGTGTCAAGCTCAGTCTGGCCCATCATCATTAGATGAAGACTTCATGTCAAACACATACTATAAGGACTTACATAAGCATTTCAGGGTGGATTGGCCCAAGAAACTTGTCACTCATGAATTCTAATCCTTTCAACAGTCTTGGAGATCTCGTTAGTGTTTCACATACAGAGATTAAGGTTCAAAGAGACCATGTGGCACCAAGTCCCATGGAAAACAGCAGAGCTGAAACTGGACCCAAGTCTGTCCAAACACCTCTGGATGAGATTTCCTGAGCTGAGTCATGAAACCATTCCACTCAAAAAGGCAGAGGCAGAACTTCAGAGTGTGGGAGTCATTCAGGTAGAGAGAACTCTGCCTATAAAGACAAAGGCAGCTGGGCGGGAGGCAGAGGCAGGCGGATCTCTGGGAGCGAGGCCAGCCTGGTCTACAGACTGAGTTCCAGGACAACCAGTGCTACTGAAAAACCAAAGGGGGGAGCGGGAGCAGAAAAAGACAATGACACAAGAGAGCAGCCATCATCTAGCTCGTGGTCGGGGAAAGTAAAACGAGGCACCTTTCTTGAAGGGCCAATCTGCAAAGGCCCTGCACACTGACTGGGTTTAAGATGTATCCAGGTCCACTTGGTACAAAATGAGTCTGAGAAAGCTTAAGCACCAACTGGGACACCGGCTTGAAGGAGGTGCTCGGAATGAATTTGAGTCTGGGCTGGGAAAGACCACCTCACGGCCACCATTTGCTTCCAGCAGGGTCCAAGCACAGGTGCTGCTGATGTGAAGGGCTTCAGTGTTAGTGTAGAAGCCCTTCACAGAGCCAGGGCTTAGTGTGTGAGGCCTGCACAGGAATCTCCAACACCAAACCCAACCAACAAGTAGACACCTGTGTTGAGGTCACTGAAAACTTAAGTCAGACAGGACTTAAGCTATGACTAACCCCTGCTGGGGCAAAACAGGGAACAGCTGCACACAAGTTCTGAGATGAGCAAGTTCCTCGGAGACACACAGGAAAGGATGGAGAGGTGGACAGGGAAAGAAAGAGTCTCCTCAGCCTTCATTCCCGTTCTCTGGGGTCAACAGCCAACATGGGTCTGCTGTGTTTCCCCATGGTCCTAGAGAGCCCTGGGATGCGGGGCTAAGGTGAATGCAGTCACAAGTCACAGGTCTTGCTCTGTAGTCCCATCTAACCAGAACTCACTCTCTACATCAGACTGGCTTGGAACCCAAGAAGAGCTGCCTCAGAGTGCTGGGATCAAAGGGGTATGTCACCACACTGCTTTACTCTGCCAGTGCCTGTTGACCTTACGTGCCAAAAAGCAGAAATACCTACATTTCATGTGCATTACAACAAAGTTAAAATTAAAAGTGCCAATAATGAGAAGACTAACTCTGCTTCTAAAGGATTAACTGCTAATCCAATGAAAGGTCAGAATACCTTAGCCATCTAGACTGTCCAGTGCCCCAAATAAAAATAGAAACTGGTAAGAGGAACCATGTCCTCTCAAAAATGAAAACCTCACCTGTTTTATAAATAAGCACACAAATATTCTACTTCAACAATATCACATGGTTTTCCACACTGGATGCTGGTCTATAGCCAAACTTTAATTAAAACTTTTTTCATTATTTTTACATCCTGATTGCAATTTCCCCTTCTTCCTCTCCTCCATCCATTCTTCCTCAGTCTATTTCAGAAAGGAGCAGGACTCCCATGAGCGTCAACAAGGCATGACCAAACTCCTCCCTTGCATCAAGGCTCGGCAAGGCAACCCAGCTTGAGGAATAGGTTCCCAAAAGCCAGCTCAAATGCCACGGACAGGTCCTGATCCCACTGTTAAGAATCCCACAAACAGACCAAGCTACACAACTGTCACACATGCAGAGGGCCTAGGTTGGTCCCATGCATGCACCCTAGCTGTAGGTTCAGAGTCCACGAGCTCCCACAAAGTCAGGTCAGCTGTCTCTGTGGGTACCCGTCATGACCTTGACCCCTCTGGTTCGTACAATCCGTTCTTCCTCCAACATGATTCTAGGAGCTATAACCCCATTAGAGTGAAACTTTTTTTACCTTCCTTTGTATCACAACTTTGAGATCAACTTACAACCCAGTAAGGGTGGAAGTTGTTCCCTCCACTGAGGTGGCCTTGGGACCAAACACACAGTGCTAGGTTAAGGATTAACCAATGAATTTTCACAACCAATATGTATTCTTTTTTGGTAGCTTTATTTCTTCAGATTAGAGATTACAATTTCATTTCTGCTTGTCCCTTCCTTAAGATCTACAAATTCTTGGGTATAGAAGTTCAAGTCACCTTCTTCCACTGTGAAAGGGAGCATTCTTCTTCAAAAGGAGGAAGGGAGGGAGAGCAGGGCAGTTTCCAGAGAAAGCAAGAGTAGGTAACTTCCACCAGACAGGCAGAGGGCATAAGGACTAACTTGATGGTCCTGCCTACTCAAGAATGAACACCCAAATAAATGGCAAACACTAAAAGCCGGGGAGCTTTCATGTTGCTCCTGCTTCCTGTTTGGCATTCTAGACAAAACCCTACAGGATACACACAATCAGTGCAGGACAACTGCAAACAACACAATGGCAGCATGAAGAAGCCAAGGAAGGTGCTGCCATGGCAGTCCTCAAGACTCCTTGGCTCCCGCACAGCAGCTTCTGTGTCCAGGAGTGCCTCATGATCAAGTCAGGCTACGTGAAAGGTTCCTGCTAAGCGTTGAAAATGAGAAGCCATCTGGGTCACTGTGAAATGATCCCAGAGTAGGTACTGCAGAGCACACCAGGGTTACCAAGAGAAGTGTGGCTAGAAATGCAAGAGTTACAACGCTCAAGCAGGCTCTAGGAGGTGGAGTCCAGGTCCTGCAAGCTGTCTTGGGCGTCAGTGCTGTCTTTGCTGTCACTGCCGCTATCATCCCCGATCAGGTTCTCCTGCTGACAGGCCTCTTCAGAACCTGGTGTGTTGCCCTGATTCTCCTTGGAACCCAGAACCAGGTATCTGCTTTTCTTCAGCACCAGCTGCCGCCTCAGCTCCTCCGCCATCTGTGAGAGGTCTCGCTTCATAGCATATGCGTCTTCTCCATCCGCATAGTACTTGGGCTCCACCTCACTAACCTGGAAGTTCAGGGTGTTGGAATAGAGATGCAAGGCTGCTCGGTTGCTCTTCCTAACATGCAGGGATACATACTTGGCGCTGAAGTTCTCAATCATGGCTCGTGAGGCCTGGTCCATCAGCTTCTGGGCCAGGCCAAGGCGCCGGTGGGAGCGCTTCACAGCCAGTGAGGTGATGTGTCCGTGGGGGACATCATCGGGGTCCTCTTCCATCTTGGCCAGGACATAGCCCACGATCTTCCCATCCTCATCCTCAGCAATGTAGGAGAGCTGGGGCCAGGAGAGGCCGTGATAGAAATAGTACTTCATCTGGTAGTTCTCGGGCAGGCAGAGCAGGTTGCAGTGCTGCATGTTCATCAGGTCATCTGGCCGAGCACGGCGGATGTTCATTTTGGCAGCAGTCAGGCCTGTCAGGCTCCGGAGAACAAGAGAGGATGCCACGGAGCACAAGCGACACCAACACCGTTTGCCTCGAGGAATTGACACAAAGGCGTATTTCAAAACTCAAGAAACACAGCACTGTCACTCTAAGTGTATCTTTGAATAGGGATTTAACAGGTATCCTGGTCATGTGACCTTGGTGTAACTACATAGTCTTAATTTTGTACTCATGCTTGCAGAGGCTCTCATTCAACAAGACTTAGGGAGCAGGGTTTGCTAAAGACTGAAATCCTAGTGAGAATGGGGTCTCTGCCTATGAGGCTATATACTCATGTGACAATTGAGAAAGTACCAACACAGCATCCAACCTCCCCAGGTCCCTGCTAACTCCTGAACCTTCCTGGATTTTATCTGCAACAGTGGTGTATGCAAAGCATCTCAAAACTGGCTACTTGGATACTGGCTCTTGCTTCCATGTGGACTAGAATATAAACTCAGCTACTTGTTTCTCCTGCTACTTGTCTACCCATTTATTAATTTGTAGTTAGCTAAAAGTTTCACCTGTGTTTTCTATAAAACTGAGATTAAAGTAGATGTTCTCAATTTTTTTCTCCAATAACCATTTTGAAAATCTAAAAAGAAATGGAAAAACACTGATTTGTATTTGCCCGGTGTATTTAGTCCCACAAGTTATGGAGCTTTAAAAAGCATGGGCAGATTCCTAATGAGCATGTGTCTGAGCCGGGGCAATCTTACACAAGCTCCACACACAGTAACATCCGAGTTTACTCTCTGCTTATGTCTGAGGCCCTAGCTCCAAAGATCAGCTAACTCAACCCTTCCTGTCACTAATAAGACAGGCTCCCTTATGTTATTCTTTAGTCGCTCTACAAACAATATCATTTGTCTTGTACAGCTTTCTAAAACTGTGTACGTACATCTACATTCCTAATTTGTGTGCATGTGGTACAGACATGCCATGCACACGTGTAGAGATCAGAGAACAACTCCTGGAGTTGGTTCTTGACTTTGATGGGGGCTCCAGTGTGGCAATGCCTCCATCTGTTGGGCTATCTCACCAGCCACAGTATCTCTTTCATAATACCCCATCACATGTCAGTCAGTATGTCTCTAAAGCTACTTTAAATGCCATTTGTATGGGCTTTTTAACACAAACTGTCTCACTATTTTTGTGTCCCAGTATAAATGAATATTGATCTCTAGAGCACTACCGTGGCTAAGTATATTCCTACCCAATAGGGAAGGAGATCACAGGTACACGAAATACTCTCTCTTCTAAGTCACATGAAATTGGCTCAGTAAGCTCTAGACCTTCAGGACAGCTGCTCCCTACCATCTTTCTCCCTTCACTACTTAACTCAAAACTAGCCCGGCACCAGGTGGAGGTGGGCGCAGGCGGAAGCAGCACACTGGCTAATGCAGCAACTCTAGGGGGAACAGGACACCCAAGTCCAGCCTCAACACAGAACTTTTACTCACTTTAAAACAGCTGGGATATCCAAACAGGACTCATACAAGATGAGAAAGATCTCCCACTATCTTCCATTTCTGCGGAGGGAGATTTTTAAATAGTTATACTGTTCTTTATACTAAAATCTTAAATTTCAAAACTTCTGATCCTCAAGAGTTTCCAGAATTATAAATTTATATTTTGCCATAATACTAAAAAAGCAAAACATTAATAGTCTTTTAAAATTTATTTCAAATTACATTTTTAATAACTACACTAAAACACAGTATTAAAGACAGGGAAGAGACTGCTCAGTGGTTAACCAGCTTGCAGGGCACAAGTTCAGACCCTCAGAAACCCACATTAAGGTAGGAACGGTACGGTAGCTACCTGTAATCCTAGTCTTGGAAGATGAAGACAGGGATCCCAGAAGCAAGCTTGCTAGCAAGACTAGTCTTATTGGCAAGCTCTAGTTTTAAGAAAAGACCCGTCTCAATGGGTAATAAGGTGAAGAGGGACTGATGATAATCGCTAACAAACACCTTGAGCGTGTGTGCGCACGTGTGTGTGTGTGTGTGTGGAGTAAAGTTAGCTGGGGGACAGCCCTCTTGCTGAGCACACCAGCACCACAGTTTTTAAAAGGGAAAGGCGGGGGCTTTACTAAGAATGCAACCAAGAGCTGGACGATGGTGGCACATGCCTTTAATCCCAGCACTGGGGAGGCAAAGGCAAGCGGATCTCTCTGAGTTCAAGACCAGCCTGGTCTACAGGGTGAGTTCCTTGACAGCCAGAGCTGTTAGAATGAGAAAACAAAAAGTAATCAAATTTTTGAACAAAAGCAATTTAGAAAACTAAAACTATTTTAAAACAACACTAATGAGCCCAATACTAAATACAACATGTATCAGATAGAACTGATAGTTGTCACCTGCACCTGACACAGTAAAATGAAGAAAGAGAACACATCTGGCAAAAAAAAGTTCTACTCAGCTGGGAAAAGCCAAGGGCATCATATCCAGCCATCCTGACAGGAAACCCCACCCGAGCTGCTCATGCCACCTTGAGGCTAGGACAGTTAGCTGTCCCTAACAGACTCAACAGAGTGGTCTTGCTTTTTAGTGATGTTTTAGCATTTGTTTGTGTAATGGATCCAACCACTTCATTCTCGACGCTAGTCCTGACTGACAAGACAGCCGGCACAGGAGAGAAATGCTGCTCTCACCCCCAGCCACACCCACAGGTCTGCACTGTGCTGGAGTCCAAGAGGAACAGGGCAGGGATGGCTGAGAAGTACTGCTGCCCTCAGCCTAACTGCCAGCAGAGGGTTTCTGAATTTCCCGAAACCCTCTCTGACAAGGCTTCCTGAGCCTCACTTCAAAAGCAGTCCCAAGACACCTGTGACAACTGACCGTCGGAACTGTCCCCTACAGTTCTCTCCTAAATCTGAAAGCAGAAACAAAACAACTAACCCATGGAAAGTCATGGGTTAGTTGCCTTCCCTACATATCCCACATAGACACACTCCTGTCTTACTCCAGAGAATTTCTTGGTATGGTGACTTGTAGCCGAGGCCCTGGCTTCACTTGTAGCACAAGTAAATGAAGTAATAATGCTATTGGGGAGCCATTTGGAAGATAAGAATCATTTTAAAGCCAGCTTACATTAGCATCTTCGGGAGGGAAACAATTTCACCAGTTCTATTAGGTTTTACTCTTCTTTAAAACAAACTCTCAGGCTAGGCAGGGTGGCAAATGCTTTTAATCCTGGATCCGGTGGTGGTGGCGAACACCGTTGACCCTAGCACTCAGGAGGCCGAGGCAGGCGGATCTCTGAGTTCGAGACCAGCCTGGTCTACAAGAGATAGTTCCAGGGAAGCCTCCAAAGCTACAGAGAAATCCTGCCTAGAAAACTGCCCTCCACCCCAAACAAACAAAAATCCCTAGCACAGGGAGATGGAGGAAGAGGCAGACAGATGTCTTCGAGGGCTACAGACATCTAGGCCTCGTCTACACAAGTTCCAGAGCCACTTAGGAAGGCCCTTGTCTCAAGAAAACAAAATATTCAAATTACTTATGGATTAGTATCATTAAATATTTTATTACTTTACTATTTTTGCCATTAGCCCTATTGTTACAATTACAAAAGCCTAAGTCATCCTAAAATTGTCTAAAGGAATTCACAAAGAGTAAACCGTACCGGGCGTTGGTGGCGCACGCCTTTAATCCCAGCACTCGGGAGGCAGAGGCAGGTGGATCTCTGTGAGTTCAAGGCCAACCTGGTCTACAGAGTGACTTCCAGGACAGCCTCCAAAACAATACAGAGAAACCCTGTCTCGAAAAACCAAAAAAAAAAAAAAAAAAAAAAAAAAGAGTAAACTACCTAAGAAAGTGCTTGGAGGTTCATGCCTATAGTTCTAGGATTTGTGATGAGGCCGGGAGAATTTCAAGGTCAGCCTGGGTACACAATAAATCCGTTTTCCACTTCTCTCCCCCCCCAAAAAAAGTTTAAAAGTTTACCACGATATTAACCTAGTTCTGCTCTTACCAAGAAAAGGCCAATCCTGTTAAACTACTTGGTAAGCTCCAACACTCCCAACAAAGCTTGCAAATTCACTCTGCTCACTCACTATACACACAGCTTACAGGTCCTGACTGGCCTGGATCTGAGTTTGCCTCAGCTTCCGGAGTGCTGGGAGTAAATGCGTGTGTAACCGCACACGGCCCGAGGAAACCCTTAAAAACACGATCAGGGTCCACAGTAGGTACACCTGTAATCTTAACTGTGCTGAGAAACAGGACAAGCCTTTGGCTAAACTTCAGCCATGCTCCTCATCTAAGAGGCGGAGTCTGCACGGCAATGAATTCAAGGTGCGTCTCGATTATCTCGACCTATCTCAGAACAATCCCCTTCCCCGATCATCATTACAACAAAACCCATCATCACAACGGCTCACTTTAGGAGGGTCATAAATCTCTTCAGAGTTTAAGAAACCATTTCTGGCACAAACCTTCCCCGCACGTGTTCACGAGCCCCGTCTCTCCCTCTCTCTGGTGAGTCAATGGGTCTGCACGGAACACGGGACTCAAGCTTGAACCCTCGCGTCCGGGCCGCGCTGCGGTGCCCAGCCGAGAGAAAACTGCACATGCTGCGCGTTACCTTTTCGGCGATGCTGTACAGAACCTCGTCCATCTTCATGCAAGTGGGGTCCCAGTCGTGTCCGAAGCGAATGACGACCACGCGGTCCTCCTCCGAAAGGATGGCCTGGTCTACCTGCCAGCCATTGTGTAGATGCGGAAGCATGTACGACATCTTGAGCGGGCCTGCGCGGCCGGGTGCCGCGAGCTGCCTGCGGGTGCAGAGAGCTGTGAGGTCGCGACCCCACCCGGGTCCCGAGGCCCCGGCCCGCTCCCCAGACTCTCCGCCCAGGTCCCCACGGCGGACCCCGCGGGCCACCGCCACCCTCAAACCTCCACTTGCGGCCCACGGCCCGAGGCCTACGCAGGGCTCGGCTCGCACCGGGACCACACCCCTGTACCTC